GCTTAGCTATCATAGAGCCGTCGGAACCCACGACTGAACAAACGCCGACAGGTCTCTTCAGAGGCCTGCGTCAAGGGAAGACATACTCGGACGGGTTATCACTTGGATAACAGAAGCCATCATCTCTTCTTGGGCGCCATTGGAGATATTGACCTCGGCTTTTGACAGTCAATGGTAGATGTCTACTGGCAAGTTCGACTGCGGAAAACGGGATTATGTACTACCTAACAAGTATGGGCCCAATTTAACATTCGATTTTGAAAGAGACATGTCACGACGACTTGCGAAAGGGCGAAAATTCATTTTCTCATCGGGAACTATCGACATACAATCAATTCTAGGTTACATGTGAGTGTTCCTTCGCAAAGAACTACTTTGGCAGTGGATCTACCCAGACGGACGACTGCCCAATATGTGGCATGTAAGGTTGACATTTATCTTGAAATAGAACTCAAAAGACCACGAGGCAGTACTTGAAGAAAGAAAGTAGTTGAAGAAGAGATGAAAACGTGACGAAAACATGGGGCAATCGTATACCATCCTGCGTTTTGCAGTATAATGAAGTCGAGCAAGGAAAACGGGAATGTGGCCGGCCATCGACGGCGTGAGATTTCTTAGGTCGTTCGTGGTCGTATCATCACACCCAAGGTACCACTGTACCTAACGAGCTGCCCGGGCGTTGACCAAAGCTCATTAGACTCTTGGAGCCGGTTGTTCAGCGGTGACTGGCGTTTGTGTAGCGGCTCCTCCAAAGCTCACAGGTCCCTGTGGTGTAAAATCCCCTTTGAAGAAGTTTCCTGCGCCGAAGTTGAGCATTTGGTCACCGACACCCGTGCACGCATTCAGCGGACCAGTTGAGTGATTGTGGAACGTGGCGTTACTCTTTTCGGCGCATTTTTCGATTGCCTGCTGAAGAGCTTGTGCCTTTGTATCCAGGCGGTTGATCAAGTCCTTGTCGTATCCGAGGCTTGTATGTTTGACGAAGAGACGAACACACTTTACCATCTCGTTAAGGCTAACAAGCATAACGGTCTCATCCTTCATCTCAATCCCCCTAGTAAAGACTTCGGTCTTCTCTTTGCACACTTGTAATCCGGTGACTATTGCTCCACAGTCCACGCTGTTGATCATGGATTTTCCAAATGATGTTTCCTTGGCGAGCTTGCCTGGCAAGTCCCTGACAGGCTGTAGGAGCAGGTTGCATGTATCAATCGCCAAAGGCGGGACAACGGAGTTGTTGTTGCAGGTTCTGACCATCTTCTCGAGTGCCGGTCTAAAGTCATCAACGGCATTGGCGACCTCGTTGGTGGTAGCTGTTCGCATTTCGTCTGGTTTTTCGCAAGGCTTTTTCTTTCGGAACTGGAAGCCTTTCAGAATATCTTTACCGGACAAGGGCATGATCCTGTGCCTGGTTGTCAATGAGTCATTGACACGTAAGAAAAATTGCCGATTGTCATGGGTGCAACTCAGAGGAGTAGACCTCAATCGTAGCAATGGGTGAAGGCAACGTACCTCTAACTCGGAACCGGGGTGCAGGTCCAACGGTGGCCAGTACTTGAGCCCGAAAATTGGATACAGGTTTGACTTTAGTTTCAAGAGTTGAGGAACAGGTTAAGCTCGGCTTGTTGCTGTTCAATGACAAGGAGCATGAGATAAGTGATGGGGGATACTACGGGGGACACTACGGGGGATATAGGAGATATATATGTACAGAACTAGCACGAGGCTCTGATTCTATGCCACGACTGGATAGCTGCCAGAACATCCTCGTGTAAGGTATTCACTCGACCCCTTTCAACTAGTAAATGTTGTCTGTAAACAACCTCAAGTGAACTCGTCTGGACACTCGCATGGGAGAATTTCAGTAGCAGAGCCTCACGTTTACAACAGTCTGCGTGCAAGAACAAGCCAAAGCTGATGGAAATCCCACATAAGCTACCCGCCTTGTCATAGTCAGACACGGGAAAGAAGCAACAGGTGACTACTGCGTTGGAGCCTTGGGCAGATATCTTGTGCGCTCGCGCATTTACTACCACCAGTCAAACAGATTACGGATCCCAGTATATCGACTTGAATAATTTGCGCCTGAGAAGGGGGGTCGTCTGCCGACGAGGTTGGAGATCGAAAGCACACCAGTTGAGAGCTTTGAAACATCGGCTGTCCGCAGTCACGACTTCTATCCAGACGCAGGTAGGAAGAGTTGAACCGGGCAACTTAACTGGTTGCCTTGAGATTACATTACCGAGAAGCACACTGAGAAGCACAAAAGGCTATCGGATCAGGGTTGTCGGAACATAAACGTCTAGATTTCACGCTCGCCCATTTGCTCCCTATGTAGATACTTACATGACAGGTGTGTACCACAACATTTTGAGAGCCATTTGCCTAAGATGCTCTTGGGACACTGGGCTTCAACTTCCCACACTGCCGAGAATCTATGTTCCCATATCAATCCTCTAGTTGCGCCTCGTATTAGGCCCTTACGTAACCACGTGTTTAAGCTTTGACTCCGAAGACATGGTAGATTCCGAATTTCCCTTGGTGCACATCCCTTGCCTTCTTCCTGCACCATCAACGGCCAGGAAAGAAGCAGTTTCTCTTTCTACCTAGAGATTTTAAGCAAACGGCACCCCATTGACTGCCCCAGAACCTCCATGTAACCAATAGTATAGCCCCAACACTCATACGGCAGGCTACGTGGGAGCTTCCGGGTTTTAGTTGGTCAACCTATGAACAGGTCCCGACATAGCAACCATTCACATCAACGACTCCATGTCCATACAAAGCCTGCATGTTCAAAGTGACTGCATTAGCGTAACGCTGTTGAACCCGAAGCTAAGAACGATATTCTCTTAGACCATCTGAGCATCGTTGTCACTGATCCACGCGGTGTCGACGCAGAAAGGGATGCACCTGGATGACCTGGATGAAGAACGCAAGGACTTAGGAATGCACACTCTATTTCACCCTTGCTTGATGTTCTGTGAGCTAACCCGCTTTCAATGTCAGTAACATCTTTGGTCCGTGAATAGCAGTGTACAATTGAAGGGAACCATTAGCTCTTTTGCCACGATCGATCATGTCAATGCGCTGTGGTTGTGACTGCCGTGAGCGGTACCAAAAGAATAGAACCTCTTCCAACCCCAGTCTAAGGGACTCCCATTCTCGGGTTAGGCGATTACCACGCAGTCTTTGCGAAACGTGACGTTGGCTTCGTGGATATGCATATTTGGGGCTGTTAGTTGCCTAACCGCAACCCAAGCGTCTTTCTTCCCGAATCTCTGAAGTATAACCACTCATAAGGAGACAACCCTTACCGTCTCATTCCGCTACCCGTCAAATTTTGCTGGGATTGCAGAGCCCTGGGTTGTTGACTGCCTGGCCTCCTGGGATTATTGAAACCCCTCATTCCCCAAGCGATGCCGCTCAACTCTCGGGTTATCGCATGCCAGACGACCAACATCGCACACACACACACTCCCGTTGTCCCAGTTTCTGCGTTGTTTGTTTCCACCCCATACTTTCACCGAATATGTCAGGCCTGGAATTCCTCAACGTCGCTTCCAGCATCATATCAATTGTCGACGCAGTCGTCAAAGTCATCAGTGCCTACCAAGACGTCAACGGGCTCCCTGACGCCGTCAGGGACGCCTATACCCGCTTACCATTAGTGGCAGACACGCTTAGACTGGCCACGGAGTGTATGAACCAAAGCCAACCCGACAACGATCAGGATAACACGACAAAGGAGTCATGCAGAGCGATGTTGCAAGTTCTCCAAGCATGTCGCGAAAAAGCTACGCTGCTGGGGACCATCTTCCATGCGGTTCTTCCCCCAGGAACGACGCGTCCTTCAGCGCGCAAGCGCTTCACCACCGCCGCGATCATGACGCTGCATATGGGCAAAAGCAGGAAGGTCGAATCGTTGATGAAGGGTATCCTGCAAGACATCCAGCTCTTGGCGAACAATCGTGCTCTGGATGAGGCCACTAGAAATAAGATAAAGGCTCGAATGGATATGAATGCCTCAGCTCAGAGTAATATCATCTCGTTGTCGGGAAGCTCTCCACCACCACCCCCGGTTACATGTGCGAGTCCATATGCCTCTGACGAGGGCTGTGATCTTTCTGTGCCGTCAGAGCACATGCAGTCGTCCGTACCTTTGTCACAACATGAAGAAACAAGACCAACCATGTCGTATCGCCAACCGTCCGTCTTCTGCAGCTACGGAACTGGAACACAAAATATCCATTCCGGCCGCGGCAACCAGAACATCAATAGTGGACAAGGCCACTTCTTCAACGGAACAGTCACCGGCCCTATCCACTTCTCGACTGCTGCCCGCTGTTAAAAAAAACGCCACTTTGCCCGGAGCCCAGGCGGACGTCGTAGCCCGGACAGGCATTATGGAGATATGTCACATTCCCCAGATTTGTTGTCGCTCGGCTTCGATCACGCATGAGGTACATGGGCATGAACCCATCCATGTTATCCCATGGGACGGCCAATAGGGATGAGAGGAGGAAGGATATGAGGCTCCGCGGGCGGCTGCACATGCATTGATCTCAGATTTTTTCCTGTATTCCCTTTCGTTTCATTGGTTTCTTGCATTGGTCCAACATAAACATGGGCTTCTTTCTTTGTCCGCATGGACGGGAGGTACATGTAAACGTGGGTTACACGTATTTGAGCTCGACACGTTGTGCACAGCCGGGCTTCCGGAGCCACGGACGCTGTGATACTCAGTTCGGACGAGAAAAAGAAACGAAAAAAGACCGAAAGGAGACATAAAAGGAGAGGAGAGAAATTTAGGTGATTGGTAGGTTGATGAGGTGGAGACAACATAATACAGCCGGGTTGTTGACTTCTCAAGCACCTGTCCCCTGGCGATGGCACCTAACAACTCAACCGCGGGGGAAAGGTTATGGCGAAGCAAAGGGCAGGCTCATGTGTCGCTTTCGACCTAGAAAGATTGCAAGAAGGACGGGCCCTCCAGTGAAGATATCGGATGCTTCAAGGAAGACAATAGGTATGCAGAACGAGGAAGGGCGAGTAGCACCATTTGCGCACCGTTGCTGACCTGTCAACAGAGGAAAGGGACAAGGGTAATACCGACGCGTGCAAACTCAGCCTTTCAGGGCTATCACCTAAAGTTTATGCAGGTGTCAAGAATTTTCAAGCATCATTGGAAGCATTGCAGGCGCGAATAGCGTAACAGAAGGGGCGCATAACAGGTTGTTTGGATCAAGTTTTCTTTATGTGGTGCCCTCAATAGACTCCAGGCGTTAATAGGTTAATAGTGTGTGTTATCCTTTCGGACGGATATTGTAATAATGATGAGAATGATGGTCTAGAAAATCTGAAAAGAGGAAGTAACATGAACAGGAATTGGTGCAACGTGCTATCGTCAAAAGATTGAAAAGAGAGAACTGCCTCATGGTACCGTATAGATTGTTGCCTCTCGAGTGCTTCAGAGGTGACGGAGCAAGAATAACAGTAAGGGAAAAAAGAAAGAAAAGACCAAGCAGCCTGAAGCAAGCACCGGTGATGTTCTATGAAGACAAACGGATACCGCATAATTCCGGTTGATACATCTTCAGGGTTCAAGAAACACTGCCAAAACCCAAACCCTGAAGCTGACGCTACTCGTATAACCCTGGTAGACTTTGCCATTTGCACCTAAAACCGTCAAGATATATCAACCGGAATTATGCGGCACCTGTGACAAGGGCAGTATTCTGAGCTGGAACAGTAGTTCAATTCAGCTAATAAACTACTTTGGTCCCGAAGGCCTTGTTAATCCTCTCAACTTCCAGGAGAAGCCTGGACTTCAGGGCCTTCTTATGCCAAAGGGAAACGGTACGTACTGGGTACGTACCGGTCCTTGTCGCTTGAGGCTCCAAGGCCTCTATCTAGCGATCTGTATACATGTGGGTCTTTTCTGAATGCCTTCATCCATTATCCTTCTTCCTCCTGGCGCCGGCCTTTGCCCGGGCGCCCTGCTTCTGCTCAGTTAGGCGTGATTGCTCCTGTGATGACTGTGATGGCTTTGTGATGATGTTTAGCGCCGTCAGAAGTTTTGGGGTTGGCTCGCTTAGCCTGAAACTGGACCAGGGTGTCGATGTCCGTGTGACAGTACCACCCACCAACAAATGCGCCCGGAGGTTATCCATGCCGATTCCTAGGGAAAGATGGAAGATGCGGGCATAGGTAGATGCAGGGAGGTACACGTACATGCATTGTCGGGCTCACTGCAATCTCAGGAAAGGATCCATCAGCCGACTAGGGGAAAGAATCCGAAGAACTTCGTCACGGTCTTGGCCTTGGGGTGCGCCGTGCTCCGCGTAGTCCCGTGCCGTCCATTGCTGGCCATCCACCGCATCGACATTACTGTCCTTGTCAACCAGACACCTGATCGCCCCGAGGTGTGCTCCTTGCGCGGCGTACATAAGCGGAGTGCAGCCCATGTCGTCCTGAATATCCAGCTTTGCCCCCGCATCCACTAGAGTGCTGACTGTAAGAGAGGCGAGGTGGTTGATGTCATGACCAGTGTTGCCATGTTCTCGTGTTTGCATCTGGACCCGAGACATGATGGCGCAAGCAAGATGCAAGGCCGTCCGTCCCTGAAAGTCTCGAATGTCCAAACTTGCCCCAGCATCCATTAGAACACCGACAATGGCTGAGGCGGCTCGGCTGATTTCATGATGAGACTGGCCCTGCTCCTGGGATTGGGTCTGATTCTGAGCCAGGATGGTGCACGCAACATGCAAGGCTGTCCGCCCCTGATGGTCTAGGATGTCGAGATGGCCGCTTGCATCTTTCTTTCCGGTCCTACTAACGCACCCCCCATCACCCAACTCCTCCACGAGGGCCTTGACCGTCTCTAATCGCACCGTGAGAACAGCATAATGAAGCGACGTCCGAGAATAAAAGTCCTCCTGCATATTCCTAAGGTCTCGAATTCCTCTCTGCGCGGCCACCCTCAGCATTGACCTCACAGCCTCAGTATGGCCCTTCATAGCCGCCAAGTGCAGCGCTGTTAAGCCCCTCTTGTCCCATCCTTCAAGCCATACCCTCTTCTCTAGCAGGTAATCGACCATAGATAGCTGTCCTTGCTTTGAGGCAATATGTAGTGCTGTTCGTCCGTCCGTGTCAGCCATATCGAGGTTGGCACCCTTCTCTGCTAGAAGATAGAGAGAGTAGAAATCGTTTTGGATGGTGACGTAGTGAACCGGGGTACGACCTTGATCGTCTTGGGCATCGATGAGGTCGGTAAGGTTGAGATTGAGGCTGAAGCCTAGACACACAAAGAGGGCGTCATTATTGAGGGAGTGCTTGACCCAGACAGACCCGAGTCGGGAGGCAATGTGAAGGGCCGTGCGCCCGTGAACGTCTCGCTTATGTGGGTTTGGTAGCCAGGTTTTGACGAAAGTGTAGATGGACTGCTCGCCATGGGCGTCTAGGCCGCCTTGTCTGGAGGCAATTTCTGGCGACGCGCGATTTTGCGAACCCGTGGATCTAACCGGCGTGATGTTTCTATCGACGGATGGATGGCACCGTACCTCTGGTGCTATGGATGTAGTGTGAGACAAGGACCTGTTAGATCTGTCATCCCCCTCGTCCGCTGCCCCCGGATTCGATGCGGAGCAAACATTTCGGGCTGGATTGTGGAGGGCGGTACTGCCCCGAGAGTCTCTCTTATATGGGTTGGAAAGCCAGGTTCTGAAGAGAATGAAGGTTGACTTTTTATATCGGTTGTGTGCTGCGCGCGGGCCAGAGGCGTTTGCTGGCGATGGGCGACTGCGTGGACTTGGGGATCTGACCGGCGTGATATTGCTGTCGACTGATCTATGGTGCTGTGACGACCGTATCGATGGGTCTGGGGATGCGATGTTCGACAAAACTCCGTCGTCAGCTGCTCCTGGATTCGATATGCAGCAGAAATTGAAGCCTACGATGCAGCCATCCACGAGTCAGCATGTGGCTCGAAGGTATGGTATTAGCTGTTACGTGAAAGCGGATGCAACCCACAGTTCAACGAGATTTGAATGGTCTGATTATTCTGGGAAGTATCATTGATGTACTGAGACCCTACACCGGAGTGTGCGTTGTGTCGACCTGATCCGTTGTTGACATGGACCGTGTGTCCAGATGGGGAAGTGATTGGAGCCATCCCACGTACAGAGGGGACCTTGTATAGCTCGTCGATTTTGTGGTAGGAACTGGGACAGAAAGCGCCGAAGCCGAGGTGAGTTGTCGATGTTTTGAAGTTGTTCGCGGTCAAGGGGCCGGTATCCTGCACGACTTGAGCGTAGTCTTGTTGAAGTCATTAAGGTGTGTGTCGTCGGCAGGGTAATATCCCACACAGCCCACAAAAGCAGGCGCAAAGCTTGATTCATGCTGGGGGGACTCCGTGGCTGTGGTTACACCTATAAATTGAGCTGTTCTCACCTGATGATCACAGGAAGAACAAAGCAGGAGCTTTGCCATTCACCGGGAGTCTAAATCACATAACCATCTCCTTGAGACCAACCTTTTAAGACCGACGTCGCTAAGCTCAATAGGGGGACGGCTCGGAGAGAGTCTGGTGGATTCTGATCGAGATGGGAAGGGGCGGCCTTCGAGATTTGGGGGAGCGGGGATGCATTCGGGTGGCGCAGCTTCCATCGAGTTGTGTCAAGGGACCAACATCTACTCTGCCGGCGTGTCAGCCTTTCTGAAAGCCCAAGTCGCATTATACAGGTGTCAAGCCACTTAAAAGAAAAGGAATAGGCGGACAAGTACTCGATGGATGGTGTGAGGATTGTCGGATTGATGACAATCAACGATCAACAAGCAACACCAAACGCCAGGCCGGATCTGCTTTTGAGGGTCATAAGACCTGATGCTCCAGTCCTTTTTGAGGCAGCAATTCAGCAAGCAATCGGCTGACCAAATGCGGTAGGCAACCTGATGATGGTAGAGAACATATGCCGTTGCCAAGCCGTTTACCAAGCTGGCTTGGCCTCCGTCCATGGTGTTGTTGACACAAAGGGCAGGAGGGCCACACTGTTGATGGCTCAGGCCCCTACTGTGGGGGGATGTCTGGACCATCAACGAGGCTTCGACGGCCGAACGATCCCGTGTGGTCACCGATTGTCGAGGTTTAGACGGCTCGGCACCCCTCCTAGCAGGTTGTTGCTGGCTGTTCATGAGCCTTGCGACGCCCCCACCGTTTTCATATTGATGAACGGTAAACAGAAGCAACACGGCCGATCGCGCGATCGCGCCGTAGCACAAAGATAAAGTGGATGTGAGCTATCCTTGGGCCTGGGCCTTGCGCGTTCTGCCTCAGATCAAGATGGGTAGAGGCACAAAACATAACTGAGCTGAGCTGACAGATGTGGCTTGTTAAACGAAATTATGCCCTTTTTTCCCAGCCAATCCTTTGCTGCGAGTCGCTGTTCTGCACCCAACCATGTATCCAAATGAAGGAGTCATTGTGTATGAGAGTTCGTATTGCGAACTGGCGAGCATGGCATCCTTACCAGAGGAGCAGCATTTCCCTCGTCCGGCACTTCGCCTTGAGACTTGAGCCACGCGCCAGAGCACAGTGGCTGTGGAGTGGAAGACCAAGATGGCCGTGGAGGTACTCATCTGAACATGACCAAACGAGGCGGGGAACAGTGTAGGTTACAGTGTGGGCGTGTGGCTTAGGCTCATGGCCGTAGAGGGCTTGGGGGGTGGTTAATCTGCACCAGCAAAGAATAAGAAGAAAAGCAGAGAAGGGGGAGAAAAAACACACAGAGTTCAAGGTTGAGATGCTGGAAGACATTCTTTGGATTGCGAGCCAACAAATCTATCATAAGTGCGAAACTGTCCGGCGGCTGGGATCGATTGCCAGATCGACTCGGATGTGAAGACGGCCCCTCTTCTGATGTATCCAACGGATTCTTCTTTTTTATCCCTGGACCGTTCTTGGGGAGATGAGGTAAAGCCGATGGCGCACTACTCATAGGGCTAGAAGCGCCCCTGACCCTCTCTTGTGCGAGTACCGGGGCCCATCTACGCAACCAAGGGGCGTAGGGCAGGTAGTTGCATTCGACTTCGACTGTGAGCCGCGCCGTCGATCATGGTAACACAGAACCTACCGGCAGAAGCCCATGGCTTCTATGCTATTAATTGCTTCCGTCAGCTACTGGCCGATTGGCTGGTTATCAAGGGCTCCCACCTTGGTTCACTTGCCCGCAAAGCGTTGTTGGACCGTATATCCCCCTCTCCTTACTGACTGAAGCATTGACGTCTTGCAGCAAAGTAGCTGCTTGCACTAATCAGTCGCCCCACAAGGAATTACCTCGCGGTCGGTCTTTGTCGTTACTAGTCGGGTGAGATGGTAGAGGCCTGGAAGGGATCGCCCTAGACGTCATCCTATCACGGCGACGTATACTGTCCTTCAGAACCCATGCTCTCAGGAGTCCTCGGACTAGAGGTGCTAGAGAGCATTGCGCTTACAGGAACAGCAAGGCCTTTGTCCATGGCGGCCTTCAGTGGATCTGACGAAGGCATGGTGCCGTCGTGGCGGATGAACATGGATGGAAAGCGGAGTTCGAGCTACCGGTGCATGGAGACGTTAGGCAAGCATTCACATCATACACGGGGAAGGAAAAGAGTGACCTACATCGTTGACAATGTTGGCATACTTGAGCCCAACATAATCAGCAATGAACCGAAGCCGGCCCTTTACCCAAACACGCTGATCGTCAGTCGCCATATCATGGTTCTTAACACAAGTCAAGGCCCAGATCAAGAACCAAGCTGGAAGAGCCTTGATCGTATCCTCGTAACCGCAAGCAAATCCGGAGCGATCGGTATCATTGTCGAATAAGCCTTCCTTCTTGGTGTGCCATCCAAGATGGTATGGGACCGAGGCTAAGACATCGGCAATATTACCTTCGCAGATGGCTTTTGACGTGGCATACTCGGCAGTTGTGCGGTAATCGGCGGGGGCGCTGAGCCATGCTACCATGCGGATATTGAGGGAGGCTAGTACAAGGCGTACCGTGCGCGCAGTATTCCATATGCTAGCAGTCACGAAGTCGGGGTACATGTCGACACGGCCAGGGAACACCTCGAGCTCGGAGTAGGGCCGCCGTGGTGATAAGCCCACCGCCTTGGGTGATAGCCAGCATAGCGTCTTGAAGCGCAAGTTTGGCGGCAGAGCAAGAAGCCATGAAGCGATCTCTTGGTCCAGGAAACGCACTCGATGGGCCAACTGATGCATCAGTTCGATATCCTCGACGGTGCGCGTTATGCTAGCCAACAGAGCAGAAGCCTCGGCTCGCAATTCACTGACTCGGAGGGCGAAGCGGTGCATGGTGCTAGGCAAGAGATGGCCATCGCCAATGCCATCCACCCACCAGTCGGCTCCTAATGGCGGGGGCATACCCGATGTTAGTGCTCGACCAATCTAAGACCACCGTCAGTCAGTATATAATCGTCTCGAGGGAGAAAGCGCCATTCGTACCACTTGATGCCTCACCGCTTGGAATAGGAGGGTCCCAGTCTTGGTGCTGCGCATCTGTTCTCGGCCTCGCAGCTTGACAATCTGGATCGCCCCGTCAACGTGTGAACGCCATGCTAGCATGCGCGAGTCCTTAATCGCCGTGATGCTCTGTTGAACCGACTGTTAGCGATGGGCCACGCAGATGCGAGAAAGTCTCAGCTGACAGACCTCATATAAACCAAGCAAAAGTACTGCAGCGAGGGTAGCATCTGAACTGCTTGTCATGGGGTTTCCCAAGGCAGCATGGGTCTTGGCCAGAGCCAGTGTGTGTTCCCGAAGAGATACATTGGCCAGGTTGAGACTGTTCGCTTTCTCTCTGTTACCAAGGGCGGCTATCGCACAAGCATTGAAGGCGCTTCGGAGCGCGCTATCTGGGGGTTCGCCATCAATCAAGGGCACAAGGTAGTCCATAAAACCATGGGGTATCTGGCCCAGCGGCACGTAGAGAAAGTTCGAGGCAAAATAGCAGGTGGCGCGTTGTGCGAGCGGGACTGTGAGCGTCGGGGTAGGGTTGGGCGTTTGTTGTCGCGTAGGAGACGGACGAGGACTCGGCAACTGTGACGGTGGTGGCTCTTTCGGCGGCGTGGAAATGATGGCTACCGCGGTCGCGGTCGAGGTCGAGGGGGTAGAACGAGACTGATTCAGAGCTTTGTTCATTCGGCGGACGGTAGACTTGGTCTGGTCCCGATGGATGATCTCGAATTCGTTTCGGTAGCCGGCACATTCGCGCTTCGACTTTGCGCATTGCATGCATGTTGGTTTACCTTCATCGCACTGCGAAAGGGAAAAAGGTCAGTCCTCCGAGAAACTGAAGAGAAAAGAGGGTGGATTCCGACGGCGTACCTTGATCCGGCGAGCGCGACATGTTCGACAGCCCCGCGAGGGCTTTCCGCCGTAGACCATCTCGAATCGACATAAAAGGCAACTGGGAGGTAGAGGACGAAGGAGCTGACGTTAAATGAGAGTCGTATACTGTAGCAGGTGGTTGAATGTCGAAAGGAATTGCCAGGTAAATGCCGGCTTGGGGTGGTGCCTGTGGCCAGGAGATGTCCGATTTGGTGTCTCGATGTGACCCTCTACTGGGAATAAGGTTGACGGGGCCTGGTAGCCAAGCTGCGGGGCTCCTTCAACGGTCGTCGTTAAGCCGGCCGGACCCAAATTTGTAGCGGGCGATGGGGTGTTGACTTTCCGTCGGGGATTCACCATCGACAAGAAAGACATGACGGCTTCATATGTACAAGATCAAGATTCGCTGGTGGTGTAGTCTCGATGGCGTGCCCTGACTCACCGGCTCCCGTCTTTCACCACAAAACCGCCCAAGACATGATGGCTGTTTCTAGTGTTCTAGGGCTGCCGAGGTGAACTCTTCAGGGGGCTGCCTCAGCGCCAATGTCGAGTGCTCGGCGTCGCCCGCAGAGTTGCATCGGGTGCGGAGCTTGACGGAACGCCCAGGATGGCCGTGATGTGAGCACGCCGAATTCGCTTTGACGAACAGCTGAATGTGCAAAGGGGAAATGGATGACACCTGGGAATAGGAACAATGGAAGACGTTGGGCGTAGGCGTCGGTATTTTCAGTTGGAGAAACGTAAAGGAGGGAAAAGTATTGGGAAGTAAACTGCCCCACGACACACGGAACCCGTCAGGCAGCCCGGGCTACAACTTCCACTTGGCAGGCTGGGCTGGCGGGTGACGACTTGCCCCATTTGGTTTGTTCTCAAAATGGAGCTCACGTTTGCAAGTTTGGCAAGGCACAACGAACTTGCTGTTTCACTTGGAGGGCGGGCCGGAAGGAGACAAATTTTTATACGCGGCGGGGTGGCACCGAAGGAAAGATGGACTAAAAGCCGGAGAGCACGCCCGGCACAGAGGTGGGGAGGTGGTTGCTCGGAAACCCCCGAAAGCTCGCATTTACAGTGGTCCGTTCCTGACCCTACCCCGCCAATCAGTTTCTGTAAAGTGGAGAACCCGGATTGATAACCGGGCTGCCGAATGCCGATCGGACCCGTCGCTCGGTCGTCACATCCGGAATCCGGGGTCGGATGCATTCCACGAGGTACCCGGACTCCCGTCGATCCTGACAAATTTATCAGCACCGCAAATTGGGATAGTACCACCAATTTCGGCGGTCTCGACGCATATCACCACTCGATGAAGATGCATCCTCTTCACAGCCATATTACCTGCATCTTTGATGAGGGTATACAAATTTTCTTGGATGGTCATGAATTTAAGGCAATGATTAAAATAATGGACGAGTTTCGATTCATCAAAATCCAGCGTGGTCTATGGGTAGTGCTCATTTTCGAAAGTAGCACCCAGTGAACATTTGATCGCAGTCGCAAGGTTCATGCAAACAAGTTGTTTGGTTTCGATTATTTGACATTGGCGGGAGCAACCTGACATGCTAACGCTGGAAGTAGAGCTATCTACGTCCAACATGACCGTCAACCAGCACCGCTGCTGATGTTCACGCCGTGTTTGCGCTGTGCTCTAGAGCCAAGAGGCTCTTCTGGCCGAATTCACATCTCCTGCTGAATATCTATGTTCCTTCAATGTGCTCGGGTCGAAGCTGCTCATTCTCAAAAATAGCACCCAGAGGTATCGCGTTGGCTCTGGCTGTAACTTCCTCTTCAGTCATATCGATACCATCTTCCTGACCAGCTTCCTCTCTACCTATATCGATACCATGTTGCGCCGGAGGTTCAGCACTCTACTCATCATCTCCCTGATATCGCGTATCAAACGCCCTGCGGTCAAATACCATAAACCTGTAGACGCCCTCCAGCTGCTGCTCCACCGCGCCCAGCCTTCCATGCGCCTCCGCCATTCTCTCGGCCATCTTGTCCACTGGAGTGGCATCTACCACGGCGCGCACAAAACACATCCAGAAGGGGGAGATGGGCTCAAGCTTGCTCAGGTCGGGCACCAGCCAGTTCGGCTGATCGGGGGCGTGCACAAGGGGCGAGGGCTGGGGGTGGTCCGGAAGGTCCTTGAACTGCCGCCACAGAACGAACTCGAGGTTGTTGTTATGCCACCAGTGGTACGTCTCTTCGATGTGCTCGCTATACACGGAAAAGCCGGAATCGGCCAGGTGCTGCTCGAGCAAGGGGCCGGGCTCGCGGATGTCGAATTGTTTGCGCTGCATGACCGTCTGGGGGACTCTAGGGTTGGGAGGGTCGGGGAAGTCATTGAAGCGCAGAATCCTCTCGCCGTTTTGCGTCTGCTCGGACATGGGCACCGGTTGACCGGCGGCCATGGCGGCCAGGACTTCTTGGGTTATGTCGACACGCTCGGTCAACAAGTATTGCTGCCGAGACAGGGTCGAGTGCAGGTCTTGCCATTGCGGTAGGGTCTCAGGCTTGGGGTTCTGGGACTGGAGGGACTTGATGATGGGAATGCCGCGGATGGATAGATCGAGGCGGCGCACGTGGCGGACACGGTGGAAGCGGTGGGCGACGTCGCGGGTCTCGGTGATGCCGTGGAGGATGGAGCGGGCTTTGTCGATGTCGGCCGCCGGCACGACGGTGGTGAGGACGGCCTCGACTGGCATGTTGATGTTGAATTAAAGACCAAAGGAAGGATTCCGATTGGTAGGGGACTTGTGCAAGGGTCCCTGACAGAGAAGTGCAGCTTGGGACGGGCGGGAAGAGGGAGTGTGTTGGCGGGAACGGGAGCTTGGGCCCCGGATGCCGTGAATGTCCACTGCCGGTGGGGATAGATGAACAGGTCCGGCGCGAGTACCCACAATGACGATCCCCGTTAGGTGATTATTAAGTGGCCGGCCTCTGTTGATGTTGTGGTTATGTACCGGTACAGGTACCTTGGTGCTGGGAAGAGAGACAGGAAGACGGTAAACTGGGTGTGAGAGGGTGACTATATAGGTCCCGGCGAATTCCTATGTAGAGAGGCTGATTGTAGAAAGATCTCGTAGGAGAGTTGCCGTGACAATGGAGTTCAAGATGGTGGAAAGAGATCAGAATTGGTGTTTTAGAAAGGAACAAAAAGCGACAGCAAAGACAGAGCTGGAGCTTGAAGCTTCTAAAATACTAAAATGGCCAATCGGATGCCTCAAGGTTTACCAAAGTGGAGTCAGCTCTCGTGTCTGCCGCTGGAAAATGGATGGATGCCGGAGCTCGCCAAATTTACAGGGCATCCAACGCCTAGCAAACGGCTGCCCGTGCCACAGGTCAATCCTCTTCACTTCACTTCTTCCTTCATCACACAACGTCCAATGTCACGACGTTGACCCCATTTAGCTCATCGACGTCTTTCCAACACGGCGCAATGGATTCAACATGTTTCCCGAGACAGGAGAAATGGGAGACGGTCATGATGGGGATTTGCCCTGGACCCCAAGTTTCAGGACAGCATCCTGCGGCTGGAGCTGAGGGTTGAGCTTGACGATGCCCCGGTTTTGTATGCGACACAAAAACATCAACGAGGCGAAGCTGCCTTGCGCAACAAGATTTCCATCTGGCAGGTTCAGCAATGGGCACTCGCATTCAGCGGCGGCACGGTTCATGTTCATTGGGGTCCATCATGTCTCCATTCTCTTTCCAAGTGGAAAGCTTCAGGCTCATTCTCTTCATATTTTCATCCAAACCTCCATTGTCTTTCCCTTTTCCCGTCTTCTTCAAACCCCATCTCCCATGATCTTGACACCAACAAGCACCCGATGGAGGACCCTGACTTGATTAATGCGAAATACTACAACCCGAGCCATTCGAATCTGGAAGTGGTACATGTATATCCGCAGGCTCAAAGCTTTGGGAACCTTCACTCTCATACTTTATCCGGGGTAGAACGGAGAGACCATGGTTACTCGGAACCCGCACAAAGAGCAAGACTACTTGGATTATCAGTGCCAGTATTTTGGACGGTAGTCATTGGATTGACCATCTTGCTCGCCGGAGCCATTGGCGGAGGGATAGGTGGCGGTCTGGCTGCAACCCAACACTCTTCACAGTAAGGACAAAGCCGGTCTCATAATAAACAGGACTAACCGCTACTCTACCACATCCAAGGCGACCGTCATCCTTCCCCATCTCTCGGTCCAATATCCCGCCAACAACAGTACCTGCAGCAACAGTTACCAGTCCAACACCAAGTCAGTCCACCTCACCTCCTCTGACGACGACATCCACCACGACTACTAGCACGCAGTCAGCCGCCTTTGGCCCCTCTCCCGCTCCGCGCGACAACTGTCCCTCCGTGAACGGCACCAACTACACCCCCCTGGATGCCTCAGGCAATAGCATGTCCGTAAAGATCAACCCGGTCGGCCCCACAAAGGTTCAATCCTTCGTTCGCATCTGCAACAGGAACTACCCCGGGGGTGGATACGGCAACCCAGACACTTTGGACATCATGAAACTGTACCTGCCTACGCTGGAGGCGTGTATTGATGCTTGCGCCACCTACAATGTTGTCTTCCAAGCCAACAGGCCGCAAAGACCAGGGGGGGCCGACGATGTATCGGACCAGGGGCTGTGTAGGAGCGTTGCTATAGTAAAGTCTGGTGAGTTACACTGCCATGCTTTCCCCAGGCTTGCTGTTGAACACAGGGGACGTCTGGCTAATTAAACGCATTGCGTTCCGATGTCAACAGATGGCGAGTATTGCTACCTCAAGAACGCAACAGGAAAGGACAACACCTTTAGGAATCCGGAGAGGTACTCAGTTGGAATTTTGCTCATCTAGAAACAGACAACGCTGTTCGAAATCAACATAATAAACATCCTTAATCCATACCACCAACAACAACTACCTTGTCCCTTTCACTTCTTGTAACCACACGGCCTATCCAGATCCGCCCTATCGAAATCCCCAAACATGCACGCCTCCGTGCACGTAGCCCCAAACCGCACCGCCGTCTGATACCCACTGATATACTCATCCCCCGGACAGTGGAACCGGATGTTATATCCCGCGCTATTGGCCACCTTGTCATACGTCGCGTTCTTCAAGCTGCCGTTCCACCCCAAGCAGCACCTCTCCTTGCCTACATATACATTGGTGTGCACGTCTTCGGCCAAGCACAAGACCCGGTACGCCTCAGGGATCGGGACGCCGTAGTACATGCCGCCGAGCTGGCTTTTGGGGACCGTCAGGTTGCCGACAAGGTGTTCGCACACATATCTATAGCCCTTGGTGACTTTTTTTGGGGTAGGGGTCGCAGACTATCTCGTCGGGCTGTTTCCACTTGTTGCCACAGGTCGTTCGGCTTGTTATGGCTTGAGAACTTGAAGTGAACGTTGCAGAACCGCGCTTCACGGCGGCGGCGGCTTCGGCTTCGGCTTCGGGCGAGAGGGCGTACTATGTAAAGGTGCTGTCCACAATCTCCACACTTTGGGCTATGATGAGGCTGTCGGGGATAGGTGCGGGAGAGGCGGACACTAGTATGGCGGCCCTAAGGAGGGTGATGATGCTTGCTTGCTTGGAGAAGGTTGTTACGATCCAATCAGAGAATCCTATGTAAGCTAGACTAGATGACCAATCAGGTAGGACCCGAAGGGAGGACCCAAAGGGAGGACCCGAGACGAAGGATCGGGTCCACGGGTCCAGTATATCGGGTCCAGGAAGGCCAGTATAAAAGAAGGCCTCCCCAGGCCTCTTGTTACCGGATCTTCAGCAAGCAATAGCTATCACAACCTACCAGTACCTTTTGGCTACTACTCCGTTACTCTATTGTTCTATCTCAGCGATAATACTCCTGTGCTTGTAACGGTTCGTCACAAAGGTGAACATTATGGTGATGATGATGGCTGTTGAGAATACCTTGTGGATGCTCTTCTTGTCGAAATGTTTACGCTTTGGGATGTAGTTCCAGTTGATGTCGCAGATGAAGACGGGGGGCTTGGTCACCCAACCTGTTGAAGGACTTCGCACGGGGAAATTGCCTTCGGCCGATGGATCAGGCCAGTGCTAGTCGTAAGACCCGTTTTCCTTTGTGTGGGCGCCCTTCCAATGTTTCATGTGCCGGAACAACACTTCATGTGGCAACTGGGCATCGTCATTCATCTTTTCTTTTGGCTGAGGTATGATGTTACGATCCAATCAGAGAAT